ATTTCGATACTGATCTATTTATTGATGAAATCTAAAAGAGACCAACCATCGTCAAAGGATTTTATAGATATTTTAAAAGAATTAAAAAACTTGGGTTCATTTTGTCTTAGTTTTGTATACAACGTCACAAACATTCCATGCATCAGTCTATCTCGTAATATTGGGTGCACCCAAAATTCTCTTTGTGTCTGCCATCGTCTTTTATAGTGACGATGGAGGAGCACACACAATTAATTACTTTCATGTCCATTTCCAAACTGATCCAGTGCGTACGCTTCACAAACGCTCGTCGAACATCGAGCTAACGCGTGTTTAAAAACGCCTAGTGTGTACACAGCCTAAGAGCTTGCAAACAAAAACAAATTATTAGACATCCACAAACCATACTACAAATACCTTCCACAGACAGTATTGGAAAAAAACGTGCACAAAATGTACTACGACAGAGCCATAATTACAGATAAAACAATTTACCACAACAGACCAGACATCACACTCATTGACAAACACAATAAAATCACATACATTATAGACATATCCATTCCAAACATTCACAATATACAAAACACATTAACTGAAAAAATTAGCAAGTAACAGAGCTCGCCTGGGAAATAAGGCATCTGTGGAGGATGGATAGGGTGCTTACTGTACCTGTCATTCTATCCTCTATAGGTGTGATACCACACACACTACACAAAAGCCTGGCAACATTATAATTGAATAGAAATACATACATCACATTACAGAAGGCCATTATATTGAATACATGTTGTATTATTATGAAATTTCTGAATACAGACACAGACATTGACACACTTATTTAATTTTAGTTTTGTTTTGGTTGGTTACTATGTTGTTATGCCTTAACTGGTCTGGCATAGTACACAGCCACTGGTGTCAATCGAGTATAACCCACTAAACCCAACATAATAATAGTGCATAAGCAGACAACTACTACTATTGTATAAGTGTTGTGTGATATTTCTATTTTTAAAATTGCCTGAAAAGTTTAAAATTGAACTTAATGTTTGAGTAAATTATTTTTTTCAATTTTGTTTTTCACTTTCTCTCAAAATGTATATAATATAATGTAAAATTTAAAAGAAAGGCAGTGGCAGTCTTGTCTAGAATGGGAAGATGTCTCTATCATAGATGATTAAAATATGCATTTTATATTGATATTTAGGAGCCAATTCCATTGTTGTGGAGTGACCAATGATGAAGTTGGTGTGGCTTAATTTTTGGAAGTGGCAGGTTGACAGGGAGGTAGGTGACTTGCATCAAGTATCATGATACCTGGTGTAAGTCACCTACCCGTCAGAATTGTAGAAGAGTTAGTGTCAGTTGCTGTGAAGGTCATATATCTTAAATAAGAGAACAGAAAACTTAGATTATTCTAAGTAAAGATCAATCTAGATTGCAAGTCAAATCCATAATTTTTTCCAGGACTGTAGAGTTGGAGTCAGAATTCATTGCTAGAAGAGCTGGATTTGATAAAAATGGACTAATTCCAACTTCCATGTTTTTATTATGTACCTTATAATAAGCTAAGCTCCTAACAGGAATATTAATGCTAGTGTTTTTGAATACTTTATTATAACCACAGATGGAAAACATTTTGTGCATCAATGTGTTGGTGAAGATTAATAGTGGTGATAATGAATAATTCTGTGAAAAAAGATAAATGCATTTAGTTTTGATGGGTGTTTGAACCAAAGATGAACCTTTTTACTTGGTTAATTGATCTGTGAGTGGCTGCTTGCAAAAAGGATGATGTAAGCCCACTCAAATTTAAACAAGAGGAGCAAGGCATGGTGTCCCTACCCTGTAGCAGAAAAAAGATGTTTTGTGGTCTGTAGAGTCTTATCTATATATATAAAAATGAATGTATGTGTGTGTGTCTGTCTGTCTGTCTGTCCTTCATGCATTACCACACCGTTTATCCGATTGCCGTGAAACTTTGGGAAGTTGTTTAATATACTCCGGCGAAGGTTTGTGGCATAGTACGATTGCCATAAAACTTCGGAAAGTTTTTTAATTAATACACTCCCGCGAAGGTTTTGGCATAGTACATTTATCCTATGATAGATGGCGCGCGTTTACACGAGCATTCGAGCACAGTGTGTTCGATCGATTTCAAATTGTGAAGACCATTTCTCCCTTCAAAAGATATTTCTATATATGCATTTGTGAACTGTTATTTACGATATTCGTAATAATGTTTGTTTAATCACTTTATTTCAACTTTTTTTTGCTAATTACGTATTCGCTCGAACTTTGTTAAAACTTTAACTGTATACCGAACAACAACCGAAGTTGTAGAAGGAAATTCGCCTATTTTACCGATCTAGGGATCCCCTTTTCCAAATTTTAATATCATCTAATAATTTAAAAAGACAAATTACAATAAAACGGTTTATTATCCAACTATCAGAAATTTCACAACATGCCAAGGAAGAGAGGAAGGAGCAATTAAATAATTAAAATTATAAAGGATTAAAAAATATATATATAAATGGGGAATATCGCACTTCTGACAATCGCAGCGAGTGTGTGGGCTAAATTTGGAGAATCCGTGCTTCTCGCATGGACAACTGTATGTGGCCGGCTCACGCGTCGAAAAACCTTCCGATTTATTCGTGTACGCACCAGACGGAAAAACAAAAAATATCATGTATCCACAAACACTCCAATAAATAAATAGAATTGAAACGACACTTTGAAATGTTTTCCCAATGAAAATGAATAATAATAATAAGTTTCAATAAAAATAATAAAATGTAAATTGAATTTTATCATAACGAGTTTGCTTGAATTTCGTTTCTTCTGAGATCGCAGCAATGCGTGACGGGTAAGCTAGTTTAAAATAAAATAGTTAATGAACATTTGTGTTTTTGTGTAAGATAGAACAGTTATGGTACTGAGAGAAAACTACTTGGCAACCTGATATAGAACATGAGTAGACTTTGCAAATATTCAATATGGAGGGCTTACTCAGACTACTCATCATTACAATAGAAATGCCTGAAATTAAGAAAAAGTTTAAAAATTGGCTTTGATGAATTATTGGTAATGATAAAATGCCATTCTGGGTTAATATAATCAAAGTATATTTGAAATTATTATTTAGAGGCAGAAGGCAGGAATCATACCTTCTAAAATGTTATGAGTAATAGTTGGAGTTGGACTTTTGTCTACCAACTGTACAGTCTTGATTTTCATGGTAAGCAGATATCTTACCATAAAGGTAGATAGGTAAGAAGGCTTAACTATCTATTTTTAGTTTAATTTACATAGTATTTATGAAATTAGTTAGCCAAATTCCAGTCTGATAGTTATTCCATATCATTTGATCATTAGAATTGAATTATTCTAAGCTTGATTGTCTATATATGTTAATCTTACTAAAACCACTATTAAGGATATTTGTCATCAAAATTTAATGTTAGCTCTTAATTTAGACATTTTTTAAAATTTAATGATTCTAAATTTATTTTATATAATAAATCATAATTACATATGTGTATAGCACAATATCAAATATCTGGTTTCCATAAATCTGGAATTACCAAAAACTGGCTAATTTTGACTTTGTGGGCCATAGTGCATTTGTAGTTTGCCATGTGGCTGCTTTGTTTTATTTTCCATGGCATATATATATTGCTTGGCACCAGTACTGCTGTGACTACTGACATATGATGTGTTATGTTTCATTCTTTACTTTCCATTATATATTTTAAGTATATATATATGTAGCTTGTGTCTAGAAAACTGGAAAATCCAGAAATCCAAACCTCTTTCAGTCCCATGCTTTCTGGATACTTCATAAAGTACCGTATTGCTTTTTACTAGCAGTACATTCTGTAAACTAAATGTTTTACTATATTTAGTTTACAGAAATATGAAATTAAAGTTTTAATAATTTTTTTTTATTTTTTATTTTCCTACCTATGTATTTATTGATTACTAGCAGACCACGCCACATGTTGTTGCGGCTCAAAATGTATCTATTATAAATGTATAACACTTCCCCATTGGGGGAGAATTTTTCAAAAAATCCCTTTTTAGTGTATATTCTGTTGATGTACCCTATTAAAACGCAATCAAAAATGCAAAAAAACGCATCTAAAATAGTACGTATAATAGAAGCGGAGTTCTTTAGGCAGAGAATCCTAACGATCTCCCCCCAGTGGGGGGAATTTCGACATGTATATTACATAAAAACATGTGCATATTCGAATGCAGCATTGTGTCAAAATTTCAAAAAAATTGGTAGGAACAAACGAACATTACATTTTTATTTATATAAATAGATAGAAGATGATCTGCTTTAGTTCATCCTCACAGAAAAGCATAATGCCTCACAGAAAAGCAAACTTAGGTCGTCATACTCATAGCGCCATCTGTTGGACGTAAAAGCCTTAACATAGATGATATCTTTTAATTTATATAAATGTTTACTGGAATAATATAAAGCCTATGTCCATCCTGAAGTTTCACTCTAAATATTGGTGAAAGAATTTTTGAAATTGGATGAGTAGTTTCGGAGATTACCTGCTACATCCAAACTTACAAACTTTACCTCTTTATAATGTTAGTATAGATTTATATAATTTATATTTATTTTGTAAATTTTATCAGTAATCAGTAAAATGTAAACATATCTAAATTACAAGAAATTTAAAACATTGCATTTAATCATTATTTGTGAACTTGAATAATTTACTTGTATAATCAAATATGTAAATAATTTGAACTAGTATTTAAAAAACTTTATGTTAATGATAATTTTTATTTTTATTTATGTATTGTAAAATCGTGAACAAATCATTTGAAAATATTACAATGCTTTATATGCGTGTAATTGTTAAAATTAATTCAATATATAAATTAGTTATATATTATTGGATTAGATGTATTAATAATTATCTTTTTTTTTATGTAGTTTTAATTTGATTTCTTTAATTGTTAATAATTTTTTCAATGGATTTTTTTTTTAGGATAAAAGAATTTAGTTCAATACTTTCTGCTGCAAAAGTTGATATATCAAGATTAAAAGCACTTTGCTTTAATGGTACTTTTATATTTTTTATTCTAGTAATTTATTCTTAATTTAATTACTTATCTTTTAATTATAAGTTATAAAAGTTAAAAAGTACTTTGTTGTATTAAATAAAATGAAACATTAAAGTGCTGAGTAATCAATAATTAATGAATGAATGTTTTTGTTAAATGATATATAGATATAAAATGACTAAGTAATTTGAGAAACAATTCTACTTTTCAAAACAGGTGGAAATAATAATGAATATTTATCATCAAATATTATTATTAAATGTAAATACTATTTTTTTTCTAATTCTAACTTGACATTATTTTTAGGATGAATTTTAATTTAAGATTTTTTTTGTGGAAGGAAAGATTTATAATCAATTGGATTAAGTTTTATTAAATAAATTATAAAAACAATCCAAATTTTAAATAAATAATGTTTGGCAGTTCTAAATCAACAGACACACAAGCCTAGATACCAGTAAAATTTTGCTTACAATTCAGGCAAATGTTTTTGTCCACATTCCATTGGACATTTTCATGTAGATAGAGTTGAAACTAAATGCTTTATAACAGCTTAACAGATCTGTTGTTGTTCACTGATTGGTAGATAACCTGTGGCTCCAATTTTGTCTACAGCCTGTACTTTTGGCGTCCAAATAATCCATAGGATCTCCTGGACAATACACATCTTTTTCTTTAACTATTTAAACTACTTATGTCTTCTCATTACAAAGACCCTTCTAAGGGTCATAGTACCAAAGATCTTGGTCCTCAACTTAAGATATGTCAAATTAATATTGAAGGCATTAGTCGAGCAAAATGCCAATACTTACATAGAATCCTAAAGGATAACGAAATTGACATAGTTGTAATTCAAGAGACTCATACTGAGAATGAATACCAACTTCAGAAAAGAGGTGTGATTCCTGGTTTTGAACTAATTGGTTCAACCTACCACAAAACATACGGCACTGCAACATATGCCCGTAATGACATTGAGGATGTTCTGTTTTGTAAGGCAGCCACTGACGATAACATTCATGTGGTTACTATACAGGTTGGACAAATTACAATCAGCAATATCTATAAACCCCCAGCTATAACTTGGCCACAACACGTCTTACCACATTTACCCCATCCTGCTGTCTACTTGGGAGACTTCAACAGCCACCATGAATGCTGGAAATACCGTGACACTGATAAAAATGGTGACATGGTATTTAAATGGGCAGAGGAAAATAATCTTTATCTTCTGTTTGATGCTAAAGATCGATGCACCTTTAGGTCCAGCGCTTGGGGTTGTGAATATAATCCTGACTTGTGCTTTGTGTCTTCAGATAACAATAGACAACCGTTATCAGCTACACGAACAGTTTTAAATCAGTTCCCGCATAGCCAGCACTGCCCAATAATTATTGGAATTGGACTTAGTATTCCTATAGTAAATAGTATACCACGCCCAAGATGGAATTTTAACAAGGCTAACTGGACTTTGTTCTCAGAAGATCTTGACAAATGTTTGGGATGGATCCCACCTACATCCAACAATTATAAAAGGTTTGTTGGAGCACTGTTTAGCGTAGCCAAGAAATGTATACCTAGAGGATATCGCAAGATTTATATCCCAGGATGGAGTGAAAAAAGTGAATCACTATATAGGAAGTTCCTGGAATCTGGTGATCTTGAATTAGGGGATGAACTACTTCATAGCTTAGATGATGCCAGGCGCCTTAGATGGATAAACACTGTACAAAATTTGGATTTTACAAAGTCAAGTAGGAAGGCATGGTCCTTGCTTAGAAGATTGGGAGGAGCAACTGTCAAATCAGGTAGAGAAATCTTGATTACTCCAAATAGTATTGCAGAACATATACTAAACATATCTAGAGCTCCTAGAGATCGTGAATTCACAATTAAGATTAAAAAAGAACTTACGTCCATTAAAGCTAAATGTTTAAATGATACAGCGTACTCTCTACCTTTTGATACTGAAGAAATCTATGCTGCCCTTAAACAAATAAAAGCTGGTAAAGCCCCTGGAAATGATGGTGTCCATCCTGAATTCCTGTTACACAGCGGCAAGTATACTAAGCAATGGCTGGCTCGCTTCTTTACTGACATCTTACAGAAAGGTGAAATTCCTTTCGCTATGAAACAAGCTAAAATCATAGCTATCCTGAAACCTGGAAAACCTAACGATAGACCAGAGAGCTATCGACCTATCTCACTCTTGAGTGTGATGTATAAGCTATTAGAGAGACTTCTTTACAACAGATTGAGCAATACAATTTTTGAGAATATTCCGGTAGAGCAGGCTGGTTTTCGACCGAATAGGAGCTGCTCAGACCAGGTACTAGCCTTCACTACTTTTGTGGAGGCTGGATACCAAAGGCAATTAAAAACATCTGCAGTATACATCGATCTCACTGCAGCATATGATACTGTCTGGCGGCATGGCCTAATCTATAAGCTGCTTCGAGTGATACCCTGCTTAAAAATAGTTAAAATAATTGATGAGATGTTAAATAACCGACCCTTTCAAGTTGTCATGGGAAATTCGAGAAGTAGCATACGAAAACTAAATAATGGCCTACCTCAAGGCTCTGTCCTGGCACCACTGCTTTTTAGTCTTTACATAGCTGACTTGCCTCAAACAAAGGCAAGGAAATTTGGATATGCAGACGATTGGGTGATTGCCACGAGACATAAAGACCTTGCAATTACTGAAAAGATCCTGACAGAGGACTTATCAACCTTAGGACAATATTTTCGCCAGTGGAGACTTCAATTGAGTAAAACAAAAACTGAAGCTTCATGCTTTCATCTTAATAATAAGCTGGCAAATGAAGAATTAAAGGTTTACTTTGACAACAATTTATTGAAACATAATATGAACCCGAAATATCTTGGCGTCACTTTGGATAGAACTTTATCTTTTAAAACACATCTGATGAATTTAGCTGCCAAGGTTAATACCAGAAACAACATCCTCCAAAGACTATGTGGAACTACATGGGGTTCTTCGCCGTCCACCTTACGGATCTCTGCTCTTGGCTTGGTTTTCTCTGCAGCAGAATACTGTGCACCGGTATGGATGAACAGTACTCACATTAAAAAACTGGATGCCCAACTAAATGCTACTCTACGTATCATAACAGGTACTCTTAAATCAACTCCTATTCACTGGTTACCTATTTTGAGCCATATCCCTCCATCTGCACTCCGAAGGGACAGCACTTTGCTCAGGGAATATAGGAAAATATTGTCTAATCCACAACTTCCGATCCATCAGGATATTGATGACCTCAACATAAATCGACTTAAATCAAGACACCCTCCTCTTATAAGAGCTAAATCCCTGCATTCCAATAATTTCAACCTCACTGAATCTTGGAAAAGGCTCTGGGCTGATGTCTCTCCGGTGGACAGTCGACAACTTCCTTGTATCACAAAGCGACCACCTGGATTTGAGTTATCCAGAAATCTTTGGAGTGTGTTAAATAGGATTCGGACCAAACATGGGTTGTGCAGGGACAGTCTTTTTAGGTGGGGAAAAGTTGCATCCCCACAGTGTGACTGTGGTGCTGAAAGACAGACTATACATCATATCTTGGAAGATTGTCCAGTAAGATCTTTTTCAGGACAACTGAGTGACTTCTTGATTATGACTGAAAGTGCTTTAAACTATATTTCTAACTTAGATTTACATTTATGATTTGTGTTCTTACTTTTTCTGCTTTCTGTTCTTGTTAACAATTAGATGTGTAGCCATACGCTAAATAAATAAAATAAATGTCTACAGCCTGAAGATGTCCAATGGAACATGAACAAAAACATTTGTGTGAAATGCAAGTGAAATTTTGCTGGTATCTAGACTTTTGTGTCAGTTGATTTAGTACATTTTAACCAGTATTTAGCTGTTGTCTATTGGCAGTTCTATTTTCTTGCTTTTTATCTTATATAATAACTTTTTAATGTTCTTTTAAAATGTTGTTTTGATGCTTCTTAAATGTTAAAATAGTTTGAATTTAAATGCCATTAACAGCAAAGTTTATTTTTACTTACATAACCATTGAGCAGTAGCGTCAGATTGACCATTATTGGTATATACAGTGGAACCCCGGTTAACGAACGTCCTGGTTAACGACCAAATCGGTTAACAAACTTTTATTTTGCAAAAATTTTGTCTCGAATAACGAACGTAACGGTATTTTGTGTCAAATTTTAGTTGGTGTTAGGCACGCGCGAGTTAAGCATTGCTTTTCCCAGTGTTTGTACTATACTTCTTTTTTCAGTTTTGTGATTTATATATTTAATCAATATGGCATACAAGAAAGAAAAAAGTCATAGTGGCAATAGAAAACGACAACGCGCTATCGCATTTTAGAAAAATTTTGATTAAAAGAATAAGACAATCAACTTTAGATCAATTTCTTGTTCCTTACGGAAAGAGTTTGTTTGTTTGTTAAGTTATGGCAACGCAACACTTGGGCTATCTGCCTAGGGGGAATGCCTTTTGGGAGGTGTTTTTAAGGAAAACTGGCCCCTATTTAGGCGTTACAGACGTGGAGAAAACCCGGAAAACTCCATATGGTCAGCCCATCTGAGCAAGGTGCGAACCCGTGAACGAACTCCCCGTGTTCAAGGTACGAAGACCACTTAGCCATTGGTGATTTTTTTTTTACCGAAAGAGACTTCGACTCGAAGAATCTTCCGATGAAGTGCTACCCGTTATTTTTTGGAGGCTTTAGATCAATTTCTTGTTCCTTACGGAAAGAGTTTGTTTGTTTGTTAAGTTATGGCAACGCAACACTTGGGCTATCTGCCTAGGGGGAATGCCTTTTGGGAGGTGTTTTTAAGGAAAACTGGCCCCTATTTAGGCGTTACAGACGTGGAGAAAACCCGGAAAACTCCATATGGTCAGCCCATCTGAGCAAGGTGCGAACCCGTGAACGAACTCCCCGTGTTCAAGGTACGAAGACCACTTAGCCATTGGTGATTTTTTTTTT